CCACACTGCCCTCGCACCTTCAGGCATCGCATGGGCCTTTTCGGCCACACGCGCATCCACGAGAGCGGCCTTGACCGCAATCCTGACACACCCACCACATCCAACACATCCACCGTGCACAGCTCCACCCTTGCTCCATCCGTCTGCGCCACCACCACCACCGCCTCCTCTGTAGCTGACACTGACACCGCCGAATTCTCATGCCCACACTGTCCACGCACATTCACCTCACGCATCAGCCTGGTCGGTCACTTGCAAATCCATTGCACAGAGACTGGCGAACCAGTGCCTGGAGCACCCTCCTAAACCCACCAAGCTCGTCTCAACTGCCCACACTGTCCTCGCACTTTCAGGCATCGCATGGGCCTATTCGGCCACATGCTCATCTACGACGACCTGCGGTCGACAACTGCCGGTCACACCACACATTCACTCACTCCCTACCTCCTCCTCCAGCACCACCATCACCACATCACCAGAAATCAACACTCACAGACCTCACGCACCCAAATGCCACCTCCCAAGCAAGTGGGAAGTCCGCATCTCGACTCGGTCCCCATGCGGCTTCGGCTGCACGGGTGACTTGAGTCCGAGACTATCCAGACACATGAAGTTTCGTGGATAGGATGGTTGCTGATTGACGCCCTCTCTCGGTTCACGCAGTTCGTCGCGTTGTGTGTGTTGTGTGGAGTGGCTTACTTGTGGGCTGGGGACCGGCTGAAACAGCACCTTCCACGGCCCTCTCACGCAAGTGAGAGACACGCCGTTCTACCCCCGTTGTGTGAAATCCTGGTGTTGTGTGTATGGGGGGCCAGGTCGTGCCGTGGCGCGCGCAGTCATGGTCAGTCGACCATGACAGCCACCGCGCCCATTCCCCACTCCAGTCTGCTGACAGGCTAGGACAGCGGCTGGAGTGCGGGAGTGGGAAGTAAGAGTGAGGTCGACGACTCAGCGCACTTCCTCCTCGTTATAAACAGTCTGACGCGCTTGAATCTATCACGGTGCGCTAAAAGCCGTGGCTTGGAAGGTTGCCAACTGACGGGGTAACTTGGACCTCCTCCTTGACTGGAGGCGGTCTGAGAGTCAGGCTGCAATGGCTCCTTTTTAATGTGGCCTTTATGGCACTCCCATCACAGTGTGGGATCCGAGCCAGGCGTTGGCGGCACGCCCAGGTGCGGCTTCGGCCGTTCCAGCCTCCAAATCACTGTTGTGTTGGTTGAAATCCTGGTCATTTGTTGTGTGGACCAGGGGGTGTGGTGGAACGCCAAGGTGAGGATCCGTCCGAGCCATCCACCTGCGGCCTCCCTCGTCTCCGGTCTTCTTGACTCTGTTTTGACACCGGGCTCGGCGAGGGAGGAGGAGAGGGTGTGGGTAGATGCTACGCAAGTCTGCCGGCACTATAAACCCCTGCGTAAGTCACCGTCCCTGCTCCCATTGCTGCTGCAACTGTGGGGCACACGGTGGACATCATCGAAGTCGATGGTCGAACTGTCGTGTGTGCCCTCCAAACGGGCCATGCGTTAGATGCTCTGGACCAACACGGGGGTCACATTGGACTCTGGCAGACGTTATCTGTGCACAATAACAAATGCCAACATTTTGGTGTGCGCTGGCGAACCCTGTTGTCGGCATTCGTCGCACAACTGTACCACTGTCGCCACCCCAAATTTTTTGTGGTCAAACTGTCATATGTTCCGACACAATTGTAAATTCGAATAGGCCCTCCTAGCTCCGGTAAGCGTATCTGGAGCGAGTGCGTCGGCTATTGTTTTTGACATCTATCTCGACATCGGACAAGGTGTCAGCCAGCACACTGTGTGTTCCTCACACAGGAAACAAAATGCACGCAGAATAGTGCGCAGAAAGCACCCTTAATTGCGCTGCATTCCCGACTGGTCGTATTCGCGTCGGAGTCAGCACGCTACAACGGCCAAGATGGCGAGGGATCTATGACTTGACATGCAAAATGACAAAAGAATGGGTAACTAGGTGAGCTGGACGCGCCAATCTGCTATCTCGGGTTAGGACAAGTTTTGTCAGTGTAAGTTGTGCCTGATAGAAGGGTGGGGAGAGAATATGCGAAATTGGCTGCTGAATTTGCAGGTCGTGAACCTTGGTAGACACGTGGCCTGGTCGGTCACTTGCGAGCCCATCGCACAGAGACTGGTGAAACAGGGCGTGGAGCGCCGACATACATCCGATGACAACATCCCAGTCGCCAGCCCTGCCCTCCCGCATTCAGCTATAACATGCACCAAGTCGGCCGCATGAATATTTACGAAAACCTGCGGTAGATCACCGCAGTCATGGCCTCATCAGTACACGTTCCTAGTCAACCATGCGCCACGCACAAACGCTTCCAACATCCCCCTCACCGGCACGTATCATGCTAGTGACTTCTTGGCTTCTCTGCCACATTTGTGATCCAAGAGGTCTACCCTTTATGTGTGATCTCCTTCGGTGTGCCTATGGAGGCCGTGTTGCGTGTATGGCACCCGCAGACGAGCTGTCCACAGCACTTTCAGCCAGTCGACTTGTGTGTGGGGAGGGTAGAGTAAGTCAGGTTGCCACTTACTGACGCGCATGGTTCTAACACGGTACCCGAAAAGCCGTGGCGTGGAAGGTTGTCAACCCATTTGCACCCATTTGCGCTTTTGTGATTTGATTGGCTAGCTGGGGGACTGAGAGCCAGGCTGCAGTGGCTCCTTCTTAATAGCGCTCTTTCACACATATGAGGTACGAGACGCATCCCTAACTGTGTGTGTATTCCTGGTCGTGCCTGCGGTGCGGGAGAACGATCCACTGCGCCCAATGCCGGCATCAGACATTTAACTGGTTCCGACAGGGGCTGGAGCCTGGGAATGGGGAGCGAGTGTGGGGTCCACGACTCAACGCATTTTCCTCATCAAAAACAACTTCACGCGCTTGAAGCTATCATGGTGCGCGACTTGGAAGGTTGCCAACTGACGGGATAACTTGGACCACGCAGTCGGCTCAGTTATGCATGTTTGTGTGGAGTGGCCAATTGGTCGCAGCGACTCCTTCTTAATGTGGCCTGCACTCCCACTCCGTGGCATCCGAGCGGGGTGTGGTGGCCCACCTCGGGAGGACTGAGAATCAGAGCAACAATGACTTCTTCTCAATTTGGCCCGAATAGCACTCTCACCAATTGGGATCCGAGCCGATCCTCTTTTCGCTGTTGAATAAAATCCTGTGCGGTGTACATTTTGGACCAAAATACCCATTTTGTAAAAAAATACTCTCGTTTGCAGCAAGATATACCTTGACATTTCTTAATGGGTTGCTTCTAACACAAGACGGCCAAAAACACCGGGCTTTTGTGG